TGGGCGCGTGTGTTTGCCAGAAAGACAGAGAGAGACAGAGAGACAGAAAGTGAGAAATCACCTCCCAGGGGGGATGGCCATGCCGCAATCCCTTCTCCTCCATTCTCCTCTCGGGATCTTGGGCACACACCCACACATGCCCGGTCTGAGTTTAAGCCACCAGGTCTGGGACTTAAACTGCGGTTGACTACATGGGAGTCCAGCAACATAGCCATTATGCTAACTGCTGGTCCCTCTGATTAATTTTTCACAATTATCTCTATCTTAGATTAATCTTACTCACTATTTTTTTGGTTTACTTATTTATTGAGAGAGAGAGAGAGAGAAGAGAGTGGGGCACCCTCAACAAGTTCTTCATGTGTCAGTCCACCCTTAGCTCAACTAGCGCAGATCATGGGCAAGAACATGCCCTCAGAATGCTCAAGATCTTAGGACATGAACCTAGGACCATTCTCATATTTAATCAGATTGGGTTATTGCTGCATCACTACCTGGCCCTTCCTGTTTTATTTCTTATGAAGAATGTATGAGTACAGAATTCCCTGAGTTTTAAAAATGTGTGCACTTTCTATACCTTTGATGGACAACCGGTCTGGATATAACAATCATTATTTTATACTTTATCTGAATATTTGTTTGTTTAATATATATTTTTTTATACAGTAAAATTCATCCTTTTAAAACTATACACTAGAATTTATAGTTCTTCAGATTTTGAAGAACACTTATATTTTATAACCATCACAACCAAGATACTGAAGAGTTCCATAATACCCAAATAGAAAGTTTTTAGGAATCATCTTCCCACCTTTAGCACTAGGTATGTATTGATCTGTTTTCTGTCTTTACAGATTGGCCTTTGAACGATTGTCTTATAAGTGGTTTATTGGTTTTGGAAGTATTTTTCTCATCATTGGTTTCTTTCATTATCTTAGTGACATGTAAGGCCAGTCTAATTCTCTTGCTCTTGTAAATTATTTCCTGTTTTTGCCTGGAACTCCTGTGGAGTTTTTCATCATTTTTAAAATCTTATGTCTCAGCTATATCTCAGAGTTGATTGTTCCAAGTTAATTTTAGCACAGGACTGAATCTAGCAATATGTAGTCTCAGACTCTCTTTTATTTCCTGAAAACTTTCTTGAGTTATAGATTTAAACATTAATTCTGTTTCATTATTTTTTCCTTTTCAAGAATTCTTTCACTTTTTTATTTTATCTTCATTCTCTTTGTTGTTTACCGTTTTACTTCTATGCTCCTTATTAAGTTTTCCAATCAATCAACTTTTCATTGGACACTTTTAATTTAATGTTCATGTCTGATATGATCTTGAATTTTTCTTCTATTTCATTTGTCCTGAGTTCAATTTTTGCTTCATGTCATCCTACTGGTTTTAGATTACCAATTTGAGGGTTTTTTTTTTTAAATACTTTAACATGGTTATTTGATAATAACTAATTTCATTTGAATTTTATAGTTTCTTCTGTTTGATCATTATTAGTGCGAATTCTTATCAAACACATTCTTTTTTTTAAAAAAATTACATGAATGAGTTTCCTTGTTTACCCTTTAAACATTTATTTATTTATTTATATATTATTTGTGATTTTCAAGCCACCATGTCCAGGACTAGAACCATGGTCAGCTCTGTGGGAATCCAGTGCCTTGACCACCACACCACCTGCTGGCTCCTTCAAATGCCTTCTTTTGATCCTCATAGTCTGACTTCTTTTTATAGTCGCTTGGTATAGATGAAGATGGGTTGTATCTCTGAATTTCTGTGGACATGGCTAGCAGTTTGTGGACAGTTTTCAAGGTTTCAGGTTCAAGAATATTTTCTCCTGTTTGTGTATTAAAGTATGGCTTCTTACTGGCGGGCATTTTGGGGACCGTGGGAAGTAGAAGGAGAAGGACAATGGGTCTTTACATGTTGACATTATTTGTCTTGTAAGACAATGCATTACATTTTTCCTTCTTGCTCCCTTTCCCTGTTCATTTTCCTTTCTCAAAAGAGTTTCTTTTCCCAAACTGTTTTAAGTCCAATACATACTCTTAAGTCACTTATCTTTGAAAGAAACTTTTCAGACTTTATATATCTCCATACTTCCATACTTCAGACTTACTTTCTTGTGGGGATAGATCAAACTTTGGCTTCCTAATAGCTTTCCTTTTGTCCTTTTCATGCATTTTTTTTTCCTGGACTGTACTTCCTTTACACAAAAACACTCTAGGGGAGTCTAATAGCTAATGTGATTTCCTATTTGTTTTTCCATTTAAAGATAATTTGGAATTTGAATGTTCTCCAAATTTTGTGGTGGTATCCTGTTATGTTATTTGTTCTTCTTGTTACTTATTTTGCTTTTGGGGATGTGTGAACAGGTGTGTTAAGAGATTTGGATTTATGCTGATACCATTATTACTCATGTTTTGTTGCTGTAAGGCAGAAACTGGTAAAACAAAACAGATATCACAGGACTACGTACACCTTCTAAATGACATTTTCAGTTCATTTCAGTAGCTTAGTTAATTTTAGAGCTGTAGAGCGGTACAGTGACCATTATGAAGCCAGAATACTTGAAGCTTTGATGTGAATGCAGTACTGAAAGTCAATGAAGATAAGAAAAGCATAATTTGTAAGAACACTTTATAAAATACCCATTAAGATAATCTATTGCCACTATATACTTACAACAGGCTAATTAATTTTTAAGTTTCATGAGAGATTATTTTCTAGATATATTGAACTTTTAGGATTTAAGAACTACACACACTTTCGATACTATTCCTTCTAGTCTAATTTCATTACACACTCCAGGGAACTGGTGGTCGATTTTACTCCTTTGTAAGATGAGCAGATCAGCAATTAAAGTCAAAGTAGGCTCTCCAATGCGCTCGTAAAGATACTTTGTAGAACGGTATAAGTGATTGCAATGTCTCATCATAAATATTAGCTAGAAACACAAAAGGTAAAATGAACAAGATCAAGGGATAGCAGAAAATCAAAAGGAAAATTAAAAACCTCTCTAGAAGCAATAGAGGTAAGCATTTAATACTTGAGTTTTTATAGTCAGAATGTGAAGCTACACTTATGTACTTGGTAATTAATTTCGTTATCCCCTTTCTCCTTGTCAAAACCTAGATTGGAGACTCCATGAAGAATGAGAACAGCTAAAAATGAATATTTATTTTGTGCCACTCACTTAGGTTGGCAATACTGGAAAGGATTACTTAAAACACACGTAAAAAAAAATTAAGTTTTTAAAAAAGAATTATTTCCTTTATTTCTCAATATTGCTATTTTTAATTTGAGCATAGCAAGACACACACACACACAGATTGAGAGAGAGAGAGAGAGAGAAAGTGAGAAAGCAAGCCACCAGGTCCAGGACTTGAACCTTGGTGAGTCATGTGGAAGTCCAGCACCTTTAACCACCACTTCACCTGCCAGCCCCACTTAAAGCACATTTATTAAGGAAGATGAGCCTGCTTTTTCTTCCATATATTAGAGATGTACCAGGTAGCTGTACAGTCCAGAGCACAGCTGTTTCTCTCACTGTCCCATTCTGTACATTGTAAGGCAACTGTTGATTCATCATTTCCAAATGACACCAAGCATAGAGCATCTACGTATGATTTTAATATACTATAAAATGTCTGTTTTGCTTTTAACATTCTGATACTGATTTATTCCATAAACGTGATACACACATCCAATTTCTTCTGTCACATAATTTGCTTTTTTTCTTCACTTTCCAAAAGCTACAGGTAAAATGCTGACCTTGAGTGTTTACTATCATTCTTGACACAAATTGATGATATAATTTGAGATTGAAAAACTAATAGAGTTGTACTTACCATAAAGGATTGCAAGCAGAGACAGTGGCATGACAAGTAGTCCCACTAGCATATCAGCAATGGCTAGGGACATTAAGAAGTAATTGGTGGCATTGTGCAGTTTCTTTTCCATGCTTACTGCCATGATAACGAGAATGTTGCCACCTATTGTCATGATTATTATTACGACGATTGAAAGTGCTGGCCAGTTTTGTACCCCGTCTGGGAATTTGAAGCGTCCACCATCGGAGGTATTGAAAATGTCAGTTACTATAGCTGCTACCGGGCTCACAGAAATATCACATTGCCAAACCAACAGGCCAATTAGGTGCACACTGAAAATTAAGAAGGAAAGGGAAAAAAAATCAGATATATACTAAATTGCTTATAAGTAATAAGTCACTTATGCAGAACAATAGCTTTGCCTTCAACAATGACATCATTATCAATTCTCTCTTAATTAAACTTCAATATTTCTTTTTTTCTATGCAAAAAATACTTATATTGAGTAATTATTATGATCAAGTTTCTTATCTTACAGAGAAAGGATAAGTAATTTTCTTTTTTTTTTAAGAATTATTTTTTATTGAATTTTATTTATTGATTCATTTATTTTCATTTAACCAGGGAGAGACAGAGAGAGAGAGAGAAAGAGAGAGAGAGAGAAAGCAAGAAAGCAAGCCACCAGGTCTGGGACTCGAACTGTGGCCAGCTATGTGGTCAGTTAAGGTCAGCACCTTAACCACCATGCCACCTACTGGTCTTAAATCAATATAGCCGATAAGTGGCAGGGCCAGGATGAACACTCAGGTTCCACTGATTTTAAAGGCTGTGTTTTAAACTCTTACTGTAATCTGAAACCACAATATTGTTTGAAACTGAAATTATCTACTCTTTATATTTTTTTAAATATTAATTTCTTCTAGATAGTCTCTTAGCTGACAACAGAACAAAGAAAGATTTTTATTAAAGGATCCAATATCATGACAAGAGACTTGGGACTTGTCATCTTTCACTCTAAGAAAGAGTAGGTTGCTAATAGATCAACTTCACCTAAGTGTTTAGAAGAGGCAAGATGGATTTCTTTTTTTTTTTCTAGTTTCTTTTTTGCTATAGGGCACATGAGCTTGCCAGAGAGAGACAAGGGGTGTGTGTGGGTGTGTGTGTGTGTGTGTGTGTGTGTGTGTGTAAGAAATCACGGGGGGGTGGGGTGGGAATGACCACACCACAATCCCTTATCCTCCATTCTCCTCTTGGGATTTTGGGCACACGTGCACACACACATGCACATGTGCCCAGGGTGATTTTCAAACTACAGTGTCTGGGACTCAAACCACACTGCTGGCCATGTGGGATCCAGAGTGTTAACCTCCACACCACCTGCCGGACTGAGGAATAGTGGATTTTGACAACAATACTATTCATTTCTTTATTCTTTTCTTTTATATTTGCCAGAGGGCATGTGCACTTGCCAGAGACAGAAAGAGAGGAGAGGAAGAAAGCACCCTCTCATGGGGAGTGGTCACACCACAATCCTTTCTCTATCTCCTCATCCTGTGGGGATTTGGAGGATGCAAGCACATGTGCTTAGTGTGTTTCTCAAGCCACCAGGTCCAAGAATCGAACCATGCAGTTAGCTGTGTGGGATCTGGCTCCCTTAACCACCATGATATGGGGTCAACCCCATATTCATTTCTTTTTAGAACATCCTTACCTTTTCACATTTGCAAAGTGACTTCATGTCAGTTGATAGTTTCTTAATGTCAGGTGCTATAAATTTCCCTTTTACCTGGCACTCTCCCCATTTTCTGACCTATGGTTTCTGGGCTTACTCTAGATTAGACAGTGATTTGTGGTGATGATTAATACCAATGGGTTTGTGACTTTTCATATGCTGGGAACTAAATCTCTGTTCATTTCTCATGGTGGTATTTAGGTAAATTCTACTAGTAGGACTTTTTACTGGGGTGGCAGGCTAATGCAAGAGACATGGATGTAGTTGTCTTTTGCACATTTCAAATTAACTTCCTCTGATGATGAGAGGAGATTTATTCAACTTATATACATAAATGTTCTCTCAAATTATAAGCTTCTAATGTGTCTAATAAAACAAATACATTTATTTTCCTTAATAAAATAGACAACACTGACAAGTATGTTCAATATTTACTTCTCAAAAGCAAGAAATATTATCTGTGACTGGCTGTGTTATGTTTATCCTATGTGCAATAATAGTTATTTAATGCACATTCAACAGCAACATAAAGATACCTTTTCTATATGTAGTAGTTCTTAAACCTAGGTATTATTTATAGAGAAGAAAATTGCCTCCGTCAGCAGAATAAATGCTAAGTAATTTTCTTCGCAAAATAGTTGAAGATTTTGGAATTGGAGAGATGGAATACACGGCATTGTAACACCCAGATGTGGTCCATGCAAATGCTTTTGCATAATTATTTCATTCACTTGTTCTCTCAATTAAAAATATT